CACAAGTGTGAACACACTTCTAAGGTGGGTGGCTTCTTGGAATTAATTTACTCCTTTTGATTTGAAAATGGTTAAGTTGTTGGCTTAAGTTGTTCATATGTTGTGTGTTGATAATATGTGATATGTTGTTAAAGTTGCTATACGTTGTGAAACTAAGTTGTTTTTATGTTGTTTATTGTTGAATTATTAATAAGTTGTAAGTAATTAAATTTAAAAACTTATTTGACATTTTAGGGATCAATTTCACAATTTTTTAATTTTAAATATTAATATGGTATTGTCTAATAAATTTAGGAATTAAAGTGGATATTTATTTGTTTTATATTATATTAAAAATTAATTTAAGAGTGTGCTTTATATGGTGTTTATGTTAATAGTATTAGTGGTAACAATGATAATAGTGATAGTAATAACATTGTGAGTAATAACAATTAGGGATGTTTACCAATTGGATTTAATTAATTTTAAGGAAAAAATTATTTGATTCAGTCTATTCAATTTTGTTTATTGATCATCCAAACAGTTTAAATTAAAAATCAAATTCAATTCAATCTAAATATATTTTGATTTAAAATTGATATGTATTTGATTTTTCAGACATAACTATAATATTTTTATGAGAAGAAATAACTATTAATATCATTAATTAATTAATTATCAATAAGTTATAATATACAAAACTACAAATTAAAATAATCTTTCAATATTCAATAACATAATAAATCACAAACTTAAAAAAACAAGTAAACCATTAGACTTTAAGTACTAAATAGTCGATACATTGTCTAAATACATTGTTTACCATAATATAAAATACCAAACAAAAAAAATGATGACGGTTGGATATATATATATAGAGAGAGAAAAAGAGAAAGTGTTCGATTTGATTTGGATTGAATTGATTTTCTCATTGAAACCAATGATTGATCCAATCCACTTTAAAAAAAATGATTTTTTCAATTTTTAATTTTCTCGATTTAAATTTTGTAGTTTAAATTAGATTTAATTGTTTACGAACACTCTTAATGATAATGATGAAGATAATGATAGTGTCATTATCAATAATGGTAATAGTCGTAAACTCACAGTAATAATGAAATCAATATTAATAATGATAATGATGATGGTATTATTAATGACAATTAATAATAGTGATAGTCTTGATTGTTGTAATAAACAATGTTATTATCAAATGTAGTAAAAATACATATATTTTTTAAAATCTAAAAAAAAAATTACAAGTTATTTTTCTTGATTTTAAAAATAAATGTAAAAATATTTTGAAATTAAATTAAAAACACATTAAACTCTAAAGAATTTTACTCATACACTATAATCTAGTATATCTAACTTCGAGATCACTCTTGTAACTATCTCAATTAGAGAATTTATATACTCTCTCTTCTTTTTTGGGAGGTGCATTTCACACACCTTTTTCCACAAATAGATAAAAAAATATATATTCTTATTCTTTTTAAATTACTTTATGTATCTTTACAGATATACTTGGTTTTCTTAATAGTCCATATGTTTAAATTCATAAAAAATCATAATATAATTTAAATTATTGATCCTAAATTAAAATATAATTTTTATAACATCAATAAATTTTAACGAAATAAAACTCTATTTTAATCGCTAAACATCACAAATGTTCCTATGAAATTTATCTAAAGTTTTGTCACAAACATAGGACAGAGGACATTCACGTTTTTCTTCTCAAATATTTCTAAAAATTCAGTGTCTCAAAGTTTGCAAAAGACAACGAATGGGTCTTGGTTGAGTTTTTCTATGATCTTTCCACTCACTTTGTCTCTTCCACTGCCAATCATCCTCAGAACGTCTCTACTTCAACATAACTCTAACTCACTACTAACTAATTATTAACTTAGTTCCTTAAAATTTTAATCCTGAATTTTTCTTCGATTAGAGTGTGTTTAGAAATCTTTCTTAATATATTACAACATTTCTTTCAAATATATTATTTTCATTTTTATTTTTAAATTGTATTTCAATATATATTTTTTTAAAAATCTTTATCCTCTTTTTTAAAAATAATTTATTAACTGTTAAAAATATTTTGTATCACAATATCATATTATAACTTATATGTTTAAAATCACTTATTTACAATGAATTTTAATAATAACATAATTTATATGTTCAAAATATTTATTTATTATTATCAATTTTAGTCATAAATTAAACAGTTAACTTACGTATAGCAGAAACTAAAATGCTAGATTGAATAAATATATATTGACAAGTGTATATATATTAAAAAAAAAAATGCACAAGACAAAATTCAACATAGGAATGGGGAATTCGATGCAGCAGTGTGTTACTGATAATCTAATCCTTTTTTGAGAGAATAATGGTGCATTACATGGAATGTGAGGAATATGTTGGAAGACGGTGATGAGAACCAAAGGGTAGTTGCTGATGTGCCTAAAATTGCTGCACTTGGTCTCAGAGTGGAAGTTAATCAAAAAATAAACGTTCCATGAAAGAAAGATCAATATAACTTAGCTGTATATACATCTTGACTTGGTCTTTACAAGTATGGTCTCTTTATTTGGTTCTCCAACTAGCATACATTTCAAAATTGTTTCTATGTTGTAATTTACATACATCTTCTCCTATTTGCTAGCAGAATGTGTAACACTCAAACTGATGAATTCATCAAATGGTTAGATTCTCCTTCATGGCCAGAAAAGATCCAACTATTTTTCCTCCCACATCTGGGAACTCTTCATAGCCAGGAAGGGGTCTAACCTTTCCCTTTCTATCAACTTCTACAGGGTATTTCAGCAGATGCCCTTGCATCTCTGATACTTCATTTGCTGAAAATTGTTTCCAGTTTATTTCACCCATTGTTCTAACCCTTCTTACACATTCAAGGCTCTCAGGTTGCAAGAAGCACTCTTCATAAGTTCCTGTATGTTCTGCCCAAAGTGACATCCTATATCCATGGATCTACATGGCACAGTTTCACAAACAACGGCTGTTAGGTTATAATGCATTATTAAATGTTAATGGATTCAATAATGTACCTGACGAAAAATCTATATTATTATTTACTCCTTTCGTCCCATAATAAATGTTGTATAAGAAAAAGAAAAAATAAGTCTAAAAATAAATATCAATTTAGTTTTTCAATATAATATATCTTTAATAATACTTTTTTTAGAAAGTTGTTGTGTTGCATCATTTTTAGCAAAAAAGATTAATAATAAAAATAAAGTTAATTTTATGAAGTTATAATTCTCTTTAATTTGTTTATTAGTTTTTCTCAATCTAAAAATACTTAGGATGACACTTATTATAGGATAAAGTGAGTATTTTTTATTTTTTATTTTGGCAAATTACATATACCAAGTCAGGAAAAGAATACAGTTTGACTTGACTCACTATAATATAATAAGAATTACATCATTGTACCTTGTAAATATCAATTATTGATACATTCCATCCAGACTCAAAAATAAGCAGAAAAAAAAAACCTCTTGAATAATGGACCTAAATATAAGCAAATATTAACTAGCTTCATCCTATTTAATGTTACCATCTTCAGAATACCCTTCTTTTTAATTAAGATTTTATTTCCAATGACTCTTTTTAATTCTTAATATTAAGTTCCAATGAAGAGCAAGATAAGAAGAAAATTATTTTTAATTGAGATTAACATAATTAAATAACGTTAACAAACTTTATTAATTAACATACAAGTTAGTTAATTTTGCTTATAATTGAGTCAGGAAGGAGTACAGTAGTAGATAATTGCATGATATGCATGCAAAATTCATTTGACAACCCCAAATATCAATAGCCAAGCAGTGTTGTAAAAAAGCTTACTTGTCCATGTGGATAAGATTGTTTTCTTGCCCACGTATGATGAGGTTGATAGGCTCCCATTGCAATCTCACTGTCCCTTGTTCCTTCCATGGAGCGCTGGTTGATGTTTGCAGACCCAATAATCACATATTCATCATCAACTATCATGCCTTTTGAATGAACATAAATCATGAATCGTTGGCTACTTCGGCTGGCTGCCTGAAAATAGAGCACCAAAGTACAGAAAATTTACCAGTCACTAAATAAATTTTACATGCCATTAAAAAAATAATTACCAAGACTATCAGGAAATTAAGTAAAAATTATCAACACACTTGGATATTGGATAGAGCATTAGAGTACTATCTGATATATAACAACTTGTTATGTTCTGAGTGTCAAGAAGCAGTTTACATGCTAACATATTACACGCCTATCTGGAAACAATTTTTTCCTAATTAATGTTGGTGTTTAGTACTAGATATCTTGAATTCTATATGAACTCTTGTTTCACATGATGGATTCAAAATATAAATGTGGTATGGTAGCAGAAAAATGCAATTGGGAAGAGTATAATAAGGGAAGGGGGTGTTAGTAAAATACTTGTGGACTATTTGCTGGTGGAGGAGCTCCAGTTGCACTGACATTATCATACAAATTCAGGGCCTCTCGATTACCAAGACAGAAAAAGTTCAAATAATCTTGCGGAGAAAATGCTGCTTCAAGTCCTGCCTCAACCAAAGCCTTGTAAATTGTCTCATACATCATTTGCATTGTTTTATTCTGCAATTTAAAAAAAAAATCATATTAACAAATGTAATAACCATGTACCAGCGGGTGCTATAACTTTTCCATTGACATTCGGCAACCACAAGTTTTGAACAATTTAGTCTTACCACTCTTTGACAGGTCATAAAGATCCCTTAATTTAGAAATAATTTAATTTAAGAGAGTCCAATTTATTTTTTCCTTTATACATCAGTATTTGGAATGATTAAAGAACAGTAATTAAAATTATGATGGTCGCAATGATATTCTTTTTTGCATGACTATACATTATAATCCTTTTCAGTAAAACAACCAGCTGAAATAGGAGGATAGAATAGGAAAATGATCTAATATGATGATGATAGAGCAGAGATGCAATCTGATGTAGGAATGAACAATTTTCAAAATACAACCAATTCAATATTTCTATCAAAATTAGAAGTTTGACTTTCATATTGTGTATTTAATCATACCTGCCAAAATAGAATCCTTTGTGTGGCAGCCCCTGTTGGAACTCCTTCTGGCCACATCGGAATAACAACATACACTGCGAATCTCTCATTTGCTTTTATCTTTTCCGCAATCTTTAGAGCAATTTCCATTGGGATCAAGTTATTGGCACCTGCCAAAGCAAGAAAATTAACATAGAGATTTTCAAAATAAATTTGTGGCTCCTCATTAACAATGTTGTCTTCTTATTCATCCAGTAAATGATAGAGAACATCAAAAAGCTACAGTTGATAGAGCTTGCCGTTGGCATTCTTATAGTTTATTTTTCAGTGAGATTTTTTTGCAAAGCCTGAAACAATACGTAGGATAGAACATTTAGCTGTTTATTTTATTTCATCAGGGCCAATTTTATTGCAATTTATTGTTCTTATAACTTACCAATATCTTAGGAAACTAATCATGGGACTTGGCCTATAATTTGCAATGCCTATTGTACAATGTTCGAATGTTCAGGCATAAGAAGAAAGAGAAAGTTGAGAGAAAATAGCAGAGAGAGAGAAAATGAAAAGATCTGAGTAATATTTCTGTATTTCTGATTTGTATTTTTCATACATACAATGAGAGAGCAAGTCTCTTATTTATACGGATAAGTCCTAGAGCAACCGCGTAAAAACAGTTACAACAATTCTAACAGAAAGCATAACAAACTAATCAATCCTAATGATTGCTATTAACAGTCCCGAGAGTCAGTTAAAAAACTGCTCTCTTACATCATACTTCACATGCAAAATATTCATTCAGAATTTCACAAGTTTTTACCATTCAACTTGAAATTAGTAAAACAAACAGAAGTTGGAAATGTACAATTCAACACAATATGATCAATTAGTTATAATATACTTGTGTTATTATTCTAGAGCCTTTGATGTATATAATCCAACAAGTGACATGCTGCACATCTGAAATATTGTTTTTCTATATATAATGTATAGGTTACTCAATTAAATTAGTGAAAGATTAATTCTCCAAGATGGATTCTGGTTTTGGATGATTTATCCGCACCAAAGTTGATACACCGAGTTGTTTTATGTTCTACAAAATATCCAGGATAGTATTGGATACATTTATAAGCAACAATTATGCATAAAGAGGAGTTCCATACCGAGGTCTTTATGTTGACTCCAATTGTATGAAGAGCCGATGAAATATTGATTCTCTATATAAATGTAATGCTGTGCAGCACGAATGGCCTTAATGTACGCTGTATGTATGCTCATGTCAATCAGCACATTCTTTCCACATACTAGGTTCTGTAAAAATACAATAACGTTTCACCTTATCAGTGTAGATATAGCACAAAATGGTTAAAGTTTGATGGATTAAACCAAGTTCGAGAAAGAAAAATTGAAACACAAGACTTTTCATTCACCTTGCTCGTTGCATCTTTTGGATCCTTTGGAAATGCTCTAACAGAATTTGAATCAATTGATCGAAATATCTACATTCCAAAGTAGATACAATCCATAATTTCATTTTAGAGTAAAAGAGAATAATTGCTTGTAGAAAGTCAAAATATATATTCAGCTTTATTAAATAACTAATTACCTGAACATGCCAAACTTCAGGATGATCTTCCCCTATACTTGGAGCATCATTGATGCCAATAACATCTGGAATTCTTTCCAGCCTTAGCAAAGCATCATCGTATGAAATTTTCAACTTTTTAATCCCATGAGGTTTCGATGCTTTTAACCAGCGCTCCTCAAAGTTAGTTAAAACATCATAAGCTGCTGGACCATCAATTTTAGAATGCAAATCATGCCATGGTTCCCGCGGACAACCACCAACATTACCCTGTCATGAAATTTACTCATCACAAGAATTAATTGGTTTGCATTTTCCAAATAATATTATTTAGAAATTGCACTTTCTTGATTCCTAGCTACAAATTTCACCATGATTTAAATTGTTTGACCTGTAAACCTTATACTGCTGAACATTTCCTTCATAAATTGTGTTTTTTAAAGACAAATTTCGCAATTAGAGTACATGAATATAAATAACAATATCTTCTTAATAATATGCTTACTATATCACTGCTAACTTTGTAGTTCAATGCACGCTGCACTATAAATCAGACAACAACATCTAGTGATAAATTTTTTTTGATCTTCCTTATAAAAGAATGGAAAATATTTCTTCATAATGCTTTGACTTCCTTTAGGTGCTTTGCTTATCCTATCAAGAGATTGTTTGGTTAACAATGGAGTCTGAAATAGAGATTACCGTGAAAGTAGGGTTGTGGTAGTCATCCTTATGTATTGTATTCAATGTTCTAAAAAGAGGATGGTGGGGAGTATCATATCGCCCATCACACAAATCAAGTCCACCAACAAATGCTATGATTTTTCTTTTATGATTTCCAGCATCAGCATCCACAATCACAGTTTTCTGATGATGTGTATATATTGTTCCAACTTCCTAATAAGAAGACAGAAATTCAATGTTGAATTTTGAAACCAAAATTGTAGAAGTTTGTGATAAGTGATAACATATCAACAGATCCAACACAAAAAAAGAAGATATGACAGCTGGCAAAATTGAACCTTGTCAAAAGTCTGACCTACCAAAGAATATACATTACTTCCCTCGACTTTGACCCATTCTATAATTTCAATAGAGGCAAGCACATGCCTTTGCACAATTGGTCAGGTTAGTAAAATATAGTAAAAGAAATAAATATGCAGATAAATCATAATCTATAACATGTATAATAAAGGAGATTGTCCCATTTAGTTTACACATTTTTTAAACGATTTTACCCTTAAATTTTTAAATAATAAAAAATAATATTAAAAATTAATCATACTTACTATGATAAAACTTGAACACAAGATTTTTCGGTTTAAAAATCAAATGTAACATCAATTGATCTATCAAATATTGGTTATTTTAAAACACTTTTATTAAATAAAATAAAGACCACACTAGTTCCAGATAGTGTACATGTAAAGATGCTATTATCATTCCTAATCAGATAAACTGATTAAATTTGAAAACTGAATTTTTGACCTTACTGCATAATTTAATATTTATCACATGCTGCTTTTAACTGCAAATTGTAACTATGCATAAGCAGGCAACAATAACATTAAATTCCTATAAGTTATTACTTATTTGCAATGCAAAAAGTTATTGGTGTTAGATTTCATCTTAAAACTAATTGATATTAAGTGAAGTTGCTCAACAGATATATCAACGGCATCCGGAGAACTGAGGCAGGCGATGTGGGACTTCTCAATTGGCAATAAGAGAAGTTGTCTAACAAATATATAAATCGCATCCAAATAATTTTATTTTATTTTATTATCTACAAATGTTAATTATTAGTTGTTATGTTAGTGAGGAGATTCGAAACCACATCTTCTTTATTACTCAAGCCTTATGTCCCTCCCCCAAACCAATAGACCAACCTTGTAACTCCACACTTGAAGAATTGAGGCAAGTGACATGGGACTTCTCAACAATTTGCAAATTTGCAAATGGCATTGTATATATCATCAACAAGTATACAATACTACACTAGAAGATTGTATAAGCCTTGGCTTATAGTTTTTTATTGTGTCATCTAACTTCTAACACTTAAATCTAGTGCAATCATCACAATTAAAGATGGGAATAGGTCAAATCTTAAACAAAGACTTATGACCTGACTTTTTTAAAGTTTGGCCTAGCCTGACCTCTTTAATAAAAAAGTCATGTTTAGGCTTTAAAAGAGCCTATTTATTTAAAAAGACTAGACTTAGGCTTATAAAAAAGTCTGTTAGACCTGATAAACTAACATATTTATTTATATAATATAATAAAAATTAACAAACATATATTATTAATAATATAAATAAATAAATAATTGTATTAATATTACATTGATTGTGTTGAATAATTGTGTCTATCTTTTTAAATTACTAAATTTTTCTATAGTTAAACCAATAATTTGAATGAATATTATCATAACTATTTTAATTTTTTAAAACAGGAGTTGATTATTGAAATTATGTCAAATGAGATGATTGAAATAATTAGATTTTTTTTTTTTGAATAAGATTAACCTCTTTTATCATAGTCTGTCATGGATGTACATGAGTTGTCCCTTTAACAAAAAAAATAATTCAATCTATTTGCTTTTTGTGACATTGTATATGTATTCGGTACCTTGAGATCACCTCATATACAATAAATATTTTTTTAGTTTGTAAATTGTTATCATAATTATTTTAGTTTGTCAAAATATGAGTTGATTATTTAGAATATATCAAATTAGATATAAGAAACATTTCAAATATTTTTTTTATACGATTATCCTTTTTCATTATAGATTTATAGGCTTACGACATGTGTGTAAATGTACACCAACATATGTGACTGCACCTAAATTGTTCCTCTAATAGAAAATTATTCTTTTTTCCCTCACTGTGACATTGTATATATTTAAAATTTTAAATTTTAATAATATTGAATAAATTATATTTTTTCAGGAAAATTAAAAAATAACACAGTATATTTAAAAATAAATATGTTGACTTTTTAAAAATTAAGTTTATTCGTCTAATTAATATTATTAATATAAAATAGGTTTTTAAATAGGTTAATAAGTCAGGTCAGACTTTAAAAGACTAAATTTGACCTATATAAAAATCTATGATAGATAATGAATCAGACTTAAACTTTAACTTTGTAGAACAAGCCTAACCTATATATTCAAAATCTGGTCCGATCTATTTTCATCCCTAATCATAATCACAATAATGCTACTAATAATTTGGTAAGTTTAAATCCCTAATCACAATCACAATAATGCTATCAACTAAGCTAAATTATAATAATTCGCAAGTTTAAATCCCCAAAAGCAAGGCTTTAAAGAATCACATCAAAGAGAAACAAGACACTAGAACAATTTGTGGACAGTTGAGCGTAAACTAATACAAAGATTTTTCTACAAGTCAAGTAGTTGTCAAAACCTAACCTTTTGCTTGATCCAGCTATGTCGTTTGCCACTGCGAGGACAAAGAAGCACTTGCACTGAAGAGTGCTTGAAAAAACGTCGAGTTTCCTCATCATGAGTTGCCATGACACCATCCTGAACGTAAAGTTCAAGAGTGTCTCAAAACTAAAGCTAAAAGGGAAAATCATAAATATTATATTCGTATTGATAAAAACTCACACAATCATCTTAATCTTACTTGAAATAAAGTAAAAATCAGTGGTCATACGTGAAAAAGTATTAATGAAGAGGATAAGAGAATAGACAGTTGCGTCACTTTTTTTTTTTAATATATTATTACCATCTAATTTGGCAAACCAAGGGCATTGACAGGTTAACTATCAAGTTAGTATGACTTTCAAGATAGATTTTAGGCACAGGATCCCAGTTATAAAATAAGACAACCCAAGTTATAAAATGTCCCAATTCCAAAATGTATACCAGTTTTTTAGATATTCAACTCTGATTTATTTTAGGCCACCATCAGCCAATGGAAGGTGGGAAACAAGTTTTATCGATAGATATGAAACTAGTAACCAAGAAAAATGAGTTGAGGGATCATTACCCCCCACTTCTGTTGCTCACTTGCCCAACAATTGGTATATCATTGTCTCTTGAACAACATTTCATTGCCACAATTAAAAAATTGTTACAACAAAGTCCAAGAAGATATTGTTAGAATAGTGGATTAAGCCTAACTCAACCCTACAAAACCGGCTTGTAAGGTGAGGGTTGTTTTCCACTTATATACTATTCAATTGCCTAATCTCTAGTCGATGTGGGACTTGGGTTTTTCCCAATACACCCCCTCACGTCCAGCACTATTGGGCTTGGTACGTGGATAAATGGTGGGTGGCCCTTTTTAATGATCTAGGATAGGCGGGACTTGGGTTTTTTCCCAATACACCCCCTCATGCCTATGGCACATGCATCAATGGTGGGTGGCCCATTTAAAGTGGATCTAAATGGCTCTGATACCAT